CCGGCGCGCAGTGGAGGCAGACAGCCCAGCGAGTGCTGCGCCGACCACAGGGAAGATCTAGGCCCAGCTTGGCTCCCTACTGCCCTCTCACGGGGACGGTTTGCACAGTTTTGCTTCCTGGGGCTTTGAAATGTCCAACATCTCAGCTGTTCTCTTAAAGAGTGGCAAAGCCCGTAATCATCGCATTTTCAAGAAAAGAAACTACATTTACACACACGTGTATGTACATATACGACCCTTGTGAGTCCGCGCACATTCACAGGCCGCGCTTAGGGACTCTTGGGCCTCCCCCTAGAACTCGGGACAGTTGGACTTTACATCAGCGAGGCTAACAGTCTCTTAGACGACCCTCAGGTGCGGTCAGGGTGGGACAGAACACCAACCGCAAACCAAATCAGAGCACTTTTTGGGCACCTCTGATGTCCACGTCCGTCGAGGCTGCTTTCGAGTCTGATTCACGTTTACTCTGGTATTTCTGTAAATCACTTTTTGTTTCTGGCCCCCTTTGAGTCCCAATCCCTGACGTCCCTCTGTCAAATGAGCAGCTGTATACGAACCATCACAAGGTCTGGCTTTCCAGAGTGGGCGGAAGGACACGTCCCCGACCCTTGCTTAGCCTTTATGTTCTGATAATACACACGTGTGCACAGCTGTAAAGGGTGTACGTGTTTGCTACTGTCCCTCCAAATCCCGGCTGAATTATACTTCTTTAGGAGTTTGAAGCTCTATTTGCCTCTCTTCAAATCTGAGCGTTTATTTAACCAGCGAGTTGAATTTCTGACATGCCCTCCACAACTTGGCAGTTCTAGGACATAGATTTCATTATGTCTGCTTATCGTGATAAACGATCCTTAAAACTTGGCATCAGGCTTGTGAGAAAATAAGTAGAACATTAGGCGGAAGAGCCAGAGGGTGGCTGGTAGGCGGGGAGGTTATTCTCTTTGCATTCTGCTTCACTCGTCTAGTTGATCATCGAAGGTACGTTTCATTATGAAGGAAAAATAGATTCTCTCTTTGAACCAGGAAGGAGAATTCTTTGAATATTTCCGAGTCTTCCTCTCTTCTTTATTCCTCTAGTCGGGTGCTCACCAAAATTCTTAGTATTGCTATTTTTAAAAACAGGGTGGAACTTGGAAAGACAGTTCAAGAGGGAAGATGCTATCTGGTTTTATAAGAAACTCTTTAGATTTGAAATGTTGCATTGATTTTCTACTCATAGTAATAGCAAAATAAGGCTGAAGAACACTGGAGCAAAGCATTAGCAGTCAAACTAGCTAATTCCCTAGTGTCATCCTGAGGCCGAGTCAGTTTGATTTCCTTCACCGCTTTATCCATTATTGATGATGCTGAAATCAGTGCCTTTCAAGTAGGTAGATTAGAAACTTCGTCTTTGGTCTTCTTTGTCTTAACTGAAAATTTAACCATTGGGGATGTTAATTTTTCAGGATAGAGAATTAAAATAAAAATTGTACTGTCATGCAGCAAAATTATTGAAGAAATTTAATAATCCATTAGCCTACAAAAGTGAAAATGAGACTAAATGGGCCCCTGAATTTTCTTCATTCACTGTAGCTTGATTTTGTGTTAGAAGAAATAGTTTTATTCACAGGGCTTCTACTTGTCCTATAGGGAAAGTGGGCTGTTTGTAAATTACTCCTAAAAATATGCCTTTACATTTTAAGATCGACAGAGCCTAAACAGAAAAAACTCTGTTTCCTGGAGGTTTTACAGTTCTCACTTTTAGGTTCACTTTCAAAGATCCAGGTTTGGTTAGGATGGATGCAGGCATGGAACACTGCGTGGGTTGGTGTTCACGTAGTTTGTATGGTTAGCGAAAATGAGTTTCAGGATTTAGCCACATTAAGTTTTAATTTGACCCAAAACTTGTAGTGATTGCGAGTGGGTGTTAAAAGATAGTGCACATGTGTACACATCTGTAGGGTGAATTCAGCTGCGGGACTGTCGAATCTACTAATACTTATATATGTCACTATGTCAGTTTCTCAGGAGAATATTTCAAAGGCATGATATCAAAAGCAGTTTTGAACGAAATCATCAGTATCCTGTGCACAAGTATATTCGATATATGCTGCTGTTTAACATTACCTTTGAGGCTCAAGGTATAAAATGTTGTGGGCCACCTTCAAAACCAATTTTAAAAGATACCTGAGCAATTTAAATTATTTTCCCTTTACAATTTGCAGTTTTTGCGAACTGATGAAAACCTTTCTGAATTTGTGTTGAGTGTAGCTTCTTTTATTCTCTACTCCTTGCTGTGTCCTTTTGAGATTAGAAGATAAATCTAATGTGAATGCAAGGCCATAGCATTCTGAAATTATTTTAAAAGTTGCAAGTAGAACAGGGACAAATAATTGTATTTCACATGTAGATGAACTTCTTGGCATGTGTGGTTAAAAAGAAGCTGAGACTGGTTCGGTGCAAATTCAGATTCTATGATTTTTTTCATATAACTTGGACAGTTGCAGAGCAATACATCACATACATTATGCTATGTTATAGGAGAAGAATTCTTGAAACACATTGACACAAAACAAGGGAATTGGTTAGAGATTTCTAGGCCTTTTACACTGAATCTTTTATGAAAACACTATATCTGTGTGCATGCGTGAATGTTAATGAAAGTGCTCACTGAAATAAAGTATATTCTCTAGTTTCTGTAGGTGACCTCTTCACTTTGTGAAATTATCTGTGACTTGTTTTTAATTTCAGCCCAAATTTCCCAAGTTTAAGAGTAAATAATTGCTAATCCTAGCTGGGCATCAACTGTCAGTAAAAGCAAATCCCATTTAAGGTAAAATTTCCAAAATATTTTAAAGATTTAAAGCAATTTTCACAAAGGTTCCTTTTCTTTCACTATAAGTCATAGGGCTTGATAGTTTGATTCAAGTGGAAGGTTGTTTCGTGAATGGCAGGAAAAGTACCTTAATGATAATCTAAGTACAAGCGTCCATCATTTTATTTTCATGTTAGATGGGAGAGAGCCAAAGGACAAGCTGCCTTAAATTCGCTCCAGCTGTGACTCCAACCCTACCACGGCCTTCTCTTTTCCCTGGGAGACAAACCCATCTTGTTCTTCCCAGAGTGCTTCAAATGTTGAGTTTTTAAGGACAAGGTAAAGAATTTCATAGATGGATGTTCTGTTCTAGGAGCCTATGGGCACATGCTCTACTTTTCTGTACATAAACTTTTTCAGTGTAAGTTAAAACTATCTGTGAAGTTTTGGCAGAAAATTTTAATATAAGACACTTAGCATTTTAGATCCGGTCGAT